TATATATATATATACATATACACTTTGCTGGTTTTTGTGTTTCTCTAGAGAACCCAATCTAACACATATGGGAAGCAGACCACATACCCAACAGCAGCTACTCAGCTGCTCTCAGTAGATTCCACTATGGAGTTGATTACCAGTCTCATCATGGGGAATACTACATCCAGCTGCCTAGCCACTCAACCAGGCCTAGCTAAGTTGACACACAAACTTAACCACCACATTCACTGAGAGCTTATTCTTTTTCTAATTTGCACAAAGACTGATAAGGTAACATTTGAGCAGAGACCCGAATGAAGCAAAAGTGAGCTATGAAGATATGACGGAAGAGAGTTCCAAGTGAAGGAAACAGTAAGAACAAAGGCATTGAAAAGAGAGTTCAAGGTACAGCAAGAAGGCTAGTGTAGCTGGAGAAGAGATCAGAGGAGTCACTAGGGTTCTATCACATAAAGCCTCAGGCCATTGTAAGGACTTTGGTTTTTGTTGTGAATAAGATGGGAAGACCAAATAGTTTTGAGCAAAGAAATGACATCTGACTCATAATAGGATAACTGTCAGTTATCTCCATGAGGGCAGAGACATTTTTCCCCCTTGTTTTATTCACTGCTATATCCCTAGTGTCCAGTACAGTGCCTGGCACATACCAAGTACTTAAAAATTCATTGAATGAATAAATCTGATTCATTTTAAAAGAATCACTCTAGCTATTGTTTTTAGAATAGATCATAAGATGGAGACCAGTTAGTAGGCTATTAACAGTAACTAAGGTGATAAAGAATAGTGGGTTGGATAGATTGGGTATCGGAGAGGGAGTGAGAAGTGGTCAGATCTGAATATATTATCTTGAAAGTAGTACTGGCAGTTATTTGCTAATAGATTGTGTCTTTGTTATCTAGTGCTGCTATAACAAATACCACAAGTGGGTGGATTTAACAAATTTAATTTCTTAGTTTATTGCTGTTAGGTACCATTGAGTTAGCTCCTACTCATAGTAACCCCATGCAGAACAGAATGAAACACTTCCCAGTCCTGGGCCAGCTTCACAATCCTTACTATACCTGAGTCCATCGTTGGAGCCCCTGTGTCAATCCATCTTATTGAGGGCCTTCCTCTTTTTTGTTGACCCTCAACTTTACCAAGCCTGATATCTTCCAGGGAATGGTCCCTTCTGACAACGTGACCAAAGTATGTGAGACAAAGTCTGGCTATTCTCTCTTCCAAGGAGCATTCCAGCTGCATTTCTTCCAGGACAGATGTGTTAGTTCCTTTGGCAGTCCATGGTATTTTCAGTATTCTTCCCCAACACCACAACTCAAAAGCATCAACTCTTCTTCCGTCTTCGTATTCATTGTCCAGCTCTCACATGCATATGAGGCAGTTGAAAGCACCATGGCTTGAGTTAGGCACACCTTAGTCTTTGGAGACATCTTTGCTTTTCAGCACTTTAAAGAGGTCTTTTGCAGCAGATTTGCCCAGTGCAATACATTGTCTGATGTCTTGACTGCTGCTTCCATTGGTGTTGATTGTGGAACAAGTAATATGAAATCTTTGACAACTTCAATCTTTTTTCCATTTATTGTGATGCTGCTTATTGGTCCCGTTGTGAAGATTTTCATTTTCTTTATGTTGAGATGTAATCTATACTACAGACTGAAGTCTTTAATCTTCATCAGTATGTGCTTCAAGTCATCATTTTCAGCAAAGTTGTGTTGTCTGCATATCACAGGTTATCAATGTGTCTTTTTCCAATACTGATGGCACATTCTTCATAGAGTCCAGCTTCTCGGATACATACAGATTGAATAAGTATGGTGAAAGGATACAACCCTGACACACTCCTGTCCTGATTTTAAACCATGCAATACCCACTTATTCTGTTCCAAAGACAACCTCCTGGTCTATGTACAGGTTCCTCATGAGCACAATTATGTGTTCTGTAATTCCCATTCTTCTCAATGTTATCCATAATTTGTTAGGATCCACACAACTGAATGCAACTCGAGGCTTGAATTTCTCAGCTTGAGAGACCATAGCGATTATTAGCCTGTAATCTTTACAGAAACTGATTGCCACATCTTTCTCCTGCAGTGACTGGTGGGTTCAAACCAACCATTAGCAGCCAGGCGCTTACCTACTGCACCACGAGGACTCCTTTTTGCTATAACTTGTTGTATATCGTAGGGCAACCCCAAAAGATTCCTTACGTTTCCCGGGCAAAAAATAGACTCAATTAGGAGGCTGGATAAATGGAGCAAAAATGTTAAGATTATACTGAAAAGGAAGGCTGGTGTCCAATATAACCCTCGGACGTCATTCTAGAAAACCCGGGGATCCATTAAAGGTTTCTAAAACTGGCAACTACTACTTCATTTCGGATTCTTTATTCCATTTCTTAAGAAGCTCTGATCCTGCAGTGGTTAAGGCATTCAGCTGCTAACGAAAAGGTAGGCGATATAATCCACCAGCAGCTCAGCGGGAGAAAGATGAGGCAGTAGTACCCTTCCGTAAAGATTTACCGCCTTGGACACCCTATGGGGCAGTTCTACTCTGTTCTATGGGGTCGTTATCAATTGGAATTTACTGGATGACAGTGGGTTTTTTTTTTTTTTTTTTTTTTTTTTTATGACTTCTTTTAATTGAGACTTGTAGAAAAATATGGTCCTACCATTCTGCTACGTGACCTCAGAGAAATTACTAAGCCTCCCCGGCCTCAATTCTCGAAGCTAATTAAAATAATATATTCCGCATTTTGTCGGAATTAAACGCAATAGTGTATGGATGGTGTTTGACACTAGAAGGCGCTCGAAAAATGTTGATTTCCTTATGTAGGGAAAAAGACTGTGCTCTTTACGTAAACTGCGCCATGAGACCCAGTAACGGACGAAAGAAAAATTCCGCCAGTAACAGCTGCAATCACACCCGGGGCTCCAGAAACCTCAGATTCCCATCTCCCTTCAATTTTCTGGATCCACCACCGGATCATGAAATAGCTAATTGGTCTCTAATTATCAAGTCTCTACCTAGGCCTCCACAGAGACCGCCCAACCTTCCGCACCCATCGGTTACATCACATCCAGTTCCGTTTCCGAAAGCCCCTTCCCCCCGCCCCAACTCTCCAGGGCCGCTCTAGGCTGCAGCCTCGCGGGTTGGTTGCGAACTTCGATGATTGCTAGGCGGGGCCGTGACGTCCTTGGCGTGGCTGCAGGAGAGATCGCGGCGGGGAAAATGGCGGACGGGAAGGCGGGAGAAGAGAAGCCGGAGAATCCGCAACGAGCTGGAGCCGCCGGAGGTGAACACAACCCCAGCGTAGCGGGCTGCGGGGAATGCTCCGGTCCATTCTTTGGCCTCCCCGGGGTGGGGGGAATTCAGTGGGCGATAATGGGCGGATCTAGCACTCACCCGGATAGGTGCTGGGCCCCGACGAGCCCTGGGCACGCCCGGTGCGGCCTGCTGGGAACCGGGCCCACATCTCCTTCTTGCTGGGGGAGATGTCACCTCCTAGCCCCAGCGGACGCCCCGTTTCTGAAGAGAAGGGAGATGGGCCCCAGAAAGGGAGCCTGAACTCGGGGTAGAATTCGGAGCGGCTGTGCAGGAACCGCTACCTCCACATCAGAGACGCACATCACACAAAACACACACTCTGCACGGGTCACCGAGCGGTGGCCTCGGGAATTGGCCGCAAGCCGAGTTTCCGACAGTGTCGGCCTCTCTAGTACACCTAGAAATTAATTAGGTGTGTCGCTCTCTGTTCGCTGACAAGGCGGACGACCTTTGCCTGTACTTTATTTTCAAACTGCTGGCTTTTAAATGGGATGGGCCGAGACGACGTAGGGAGAGAGGAAACTCTGCCCGCCCGCTGGTTTACGCTGCAGGGTCTAGGCTTTGATTGCCTGTATTTGCTTTTACTTCGGCTGTTGCCAGTTGACCGCATGCCAGATATTTAGGCTAATGTGCCCTGTATTTTGTTACGATGTGGAGTACACTTAGGTTGACGCTATCTTTATAGATGAACCTCCCTTCCCCGTAAATTTGGGTTTTGTGCTTTAAGGAAAAGAAAGTGTAATCTCTCCATCCCTGCATTGTCTTAACAAGGGAATATAACACGTGCGAGCTTATAATGAATGTTTTAAATGTTCGCCAACCTGAGTCTTCAGAGTCTTGTGACTGAAAGCATTTAATAGGAGAAAATACCAAAGATTAATAGCATATGGAGGTAATTTAGACCTGCTAACGTGATGTAAATTATCTTGGAAACAAAAGTATTGAAGAGAAATGAAATGTTCAGTATTTTTGACCCACAAATTCCATTTCAAAAAACATGGGCAGTGATATTCAGCCCGCCCCCCCGTTAAAATAGCTTATGAAACAATAGTTTAGATCATCTAGTGTTACCTCGTTAGGAAGCCTCTCCCCCCCAAAATTACTGTCTTGGAAATTTTTCAGTAAAATTACGTTAAAAATTAGAAGTAGTTTGAGAAAAAACAGATTTGCAGCCTAAAAAATGTTTGCCATCGAGTCCGACCCGATTCATAGCGACCCCTCCTTGGGTTTCCGAGGTAGTATCACTATGGATGTAGACGTGACTTTTAATTTTAGGCTGCCTTTTTAACTGTCTACTAAGTGTAGAAGAGATGTGTTTAATATGCTGCCAAAATATACCTTAAGTATCAGCAAAATTAAACTGTATAATTTATCCACCACTGTCATTTGAGAGATATTAGCTCTGTAGTACGAATCCTTAATCTCTCTCTTGATGTTTCCACTTTTTTTTGCCTTTTTTTTGGTGGGGTAGGGTGGGGAGAAGGGAGCTACCTTAGCTAACCCATATCAAAGATTATCTCTTTTGGTGGTAACTTGGAATAAGTAATATGCCTCAACTACTACATAATTTGCCTTTCTTTGCAATGAATTAGGGCTGTTGCCTATAATTTTTAATTGTCAGATATTTTTAATGAAATTGTACAGAGCACTTACACTTAAAACATTTCATAACATGGGTATTAATAAATTATTAATTCTGTGGCAGATAGTCACTGTTATGAAAACACTATCAAGTTTGTCTTAAGGGCTTACTTTAAAAATATTTTTTAAATTTTAATTTCAATTGAACATTCCAGTATATTGGCACTTCAGGTATTTTATGAGTGGATTACTTCTGTACTTCACATAACTATGTCAATGAGAGGAGCTATTTACTTGAATTAACTGCTTTCACCTTAGGAGGGATAAGGCTTTGGGTAAGATTTTTTTCCCCTCTTCAATTTTGTTTATTTATTACTATTTTTTTTTAATTTCTACTTTGAAATAAGTAGAAATTTTAGAGAAGAGCTACTCATCAAAAAGCATGGCCATGTCAGGCTTTATTAGGTTATGCTAAGAACTTCAATGAAATTGACATTTTTCTGCAAAACACTTGTGGAATCTTGGATAGTCCTTAAGCCTCACACAAGTTCTATTAGATGTGGCTGTGTGCCCTTTTTTTACATGAGGAAAGAAGGAGAATGCAAAATGGGTCATGAAACTTTCTTATAAGGTAATTTTTAAAAAAGTACCTTTGTACTCCAAAGTCTATGCTTCTTCCTCAACTATTCCATGAAAAAGAACCAAAAATGATAGTACCCTGTGTGTAAAATGATTTCACATTAATTAAACTACACATTTGGTGTGCTCAGAATAAGTAGAAACTAGATTAAAATCCTTTTTGTTAAAATAATTCCTTGATGGAATCTAGTAATTTTATTCCTGTTAAATTGATTTGTGGTTTTATTTTTTTTTTAAAAATGATAATTCTTTATAATTCGTGTAAGTAAAATTTTTATAGTACTAATTTGTGGTCATTCAGAATTTTGTTTTCCACAGTCCTAAAACACAAAACATCTTATTAAATAGACTGAAAATAACAGTCCCTGGTTAAAAGTGCCAAACACTAGAGTAGTACATTTTTTTTTTTTAAAGGACAACACTTAAATGTACTTAGAAAGTAATGTTGATACTAAATAGTTTGTTTCAAAGCTCACATTAGGTTGAAATAATTTTCTAATGACTTATACATAGAATTGTAGAAATTATATAATACCAATCATGTTAATGTGAATTTGACTTTCATTTTCCCACCTTAGTTCATTACTTAATCCATTTGTTTTATTTCCTAAATGCTCTGTGTATTTTGTATGTAATTGTTAGAAGAGGACATAAAGAGAAAATAACAACTGGAGCCAGGTGACACATTCTGCCTTTTGAGGCAGAGTAAAAATAGTGTACTCATCTTTCTTCATTCCCTCCTTGTCCCCACCAGAGAGAAAATCTTAAAGACATCTATAGCGTTTTTGTAGTTGACTTTAAAAATTGGAAACAAAAACTTCTTGAGGGTAGGCAAGGTCAGACAGTGATTTGCTATGTACAGAAATAAATTTGGTGAATCTGGGATCAGTCATATGTAGAAATAACCTAATAGCATAGCTTATTTAATAGTAAGTGTGGCCCTGTGAAATGGGCCTTTTTGGATGTCCAGAAATCAGATGTGATAAAAATGAACTGCTGCCAGTTGGTTAAGTAATGAATGGTAGAATAGTTCTCCCAACTCCCCTTTTCATGCTAATTTTTCTGGAGCAGTCTCTATGGACCTTTATCCTACACACCGTAATGGGTTGGGTCATATAGTACTGTATTTCACATATTAGCACATACTAGTTAAGCTAGTTATCACATTTAATGTTAAGAATTATGTTTTCCTTTTCTCTCACATCTATACTCTAATTTTTGTAGATTCTCTGTTCCAGAAATATTGTCTGGGTAAAGGGAGACCTAGAATAAAAAAAAAGATAGTTCTAAAAAGTAGCAGAAACTTTACCTTAACTAATTATATCCCTTGGGTTACATTTGAAAGAGTTTACACTACAGTGAAGTCTAAATGTTTGTTTTTTTTAATGATGTTTGTTTTGGTATTTTTCATAATTATCTCTCCACAAAAATTGTACCTGTAGCATATATGTAAAGCCAGTGAGTTTTCTATTTCTGTGTGCCCCCAGTGAGTTTACAGTCTTAGCTGTGTCAGGTATGGAAAAGTAATTATTATTTGAGTTTTACTATAAAATACCATAGTTGACTAAAACTGAATAGAGTGCAAAATAAAATTTAGCATAAATGCTTTTAGTTATAAACTTAGACTTTGAAAGTGCTAATGTTGATGTAAAAATATATATATTTTTTAAGAAATTGGGTTCTATATTTCAGTTGTTGCATAGCAGGCTTTGATACCCCAGCCTCCCATTCTGGCTTTTTGTCCTGTTTTCTCACCTAGTGTCAGTACCATCTCTTAGAGCATCTTCTCTTTCTCCTTAAATTAACTATTCATGTAGCGTAGCAGAATACATTCTGTAGGCTATAACTGAGGAAAGAAAATAAAATTTTTAAAAATCGATTTCTCCCGTCTTACCTCTCAATATGTTCATAAATAGCTTTCTTATATAAGAGACCTAAGTTACTCAAGATGCAAACTAATCACTGACCTAATATGAAAACAAGCAAAATTACCTAAAGATATTTTACATTTCAAGCCTCAGTCTTTGCCTTCCACTGTTTTAAATTATAATTAGCTATTTCATGAGAAAGAAAAATGTATAAAACTAAGCATGATTGTTCATTTTTCTTAAAGGTAAAACAGATGATAGTCTACTTTTCATAGTACAGTTCAATTACTCAGGAAATACCTTGAATTCCTCTTAAATTCCTTTCAATTCTTAAGATTCTGTGAGATGTACACAAGGAACATATCAGTTAAGAAAATTTCTCCAAACTGTATTAACACTGAAGTACAAGTAATAATTAGCCTGTTTCTAACTAGATATTTTGTGTAATTAGTGGTACATTATTGAAGAATATTAGAATTTATTGTCCAAATATAGTCTCTTACGATGTAACTGATAGCCCACAAAGTAGTTTGTGTAGAAAAATTTATAGATCTTAAGTTCTACAAAGCAAAGTTCCACAAGTAGGTAGCCTGTTGTATAACTTAAATAATAGTGTTTAGTTGAAGGATCTTTACTTTGTGTGAACTCCATGTTTATAATTTTAAATTGCTCTGTATTTTATGCTAGTTAATTCATGGGAGCCTCTTCTACTGCCACACAATCTCAGTTCCTGCTGTATACTCTAACAAACAGTGGAAGAGACTGTTGGGTCAGTAGGTGACAACTGCAGAGGTATCTTCCTTGTAACGATGCTTTTTGAGGTTGCTGCTCCCATCAATCTGCTCAGTAAAAATAGCTCATCTTGGTAAGTTGTTTCGACTTCACCAGGACCTGAAGAAGAAGCAGAAAAACCTGTGAAAACTAAGACTGTTTCTTCCAGTAATGGAGGGGAAAGTTCCAGTCGCAGCGCTGAGAAGCGATCAGCTGAAGAAGAAGCTGGGGACTTCCCAACAAAGCCTACAAAGATCTCTAAGTTTGGATTTGCCATAGGTAGTCAGACGACAAAGAAAGCATCAGCCATATCCATCAAACTTGGAGCAAGTGTGAGTTGTTGTTTTAAATATAATGTTTATGATATATCTTAAGAATTTGTTTTGGAAACCTATTTAAAAGATTATAGTAAATTAAGTAATAAAGATACATTGCTTTAGAAGTAATACTTTTTGTGTGAACTTCATGTAAGTATTTAAAAAGTGATTATACTGTGTTCAAGAAAGATCTGGAATATTAAAGGAACATCTGTGATAGGGAATATAGTCATAACTACATAAAGTTTTTCCAACAAAACTTCTAAAAAATACTTTCAGAGAGAATTTCAGTTGCTGTTTTATATTAGTGCCAGTGGTATTAAAAATAGTATTTATAAAAATCAAGTTATTTTTATCATAAAAAATTATTAGTAAAAGATTGCTTGGTAATAAGAGCTTCCTGATTATCTTAGTTTTAAGTTATTTAAATAGTGCATTGTTACTGATTTTAGAAAATGGTTATATTTGTGCATAAGGAGAGAAAAATCTAAAATTGCTTTTGAGTTTTTTAATTCATGTCTGTTTTGTGAAAGTCACTGTTCAATTACCATACAGCTTTATTTCTGTATTAGATGTTTATTCAGAGATCCTTAAAAAAAATGGTCTGGATCAGTTTCCAGTTAAAGCCAGCATGGTTGAGCAGTATTTCTAGGTTGTTGGTTTTGTTTTGTAATTGTGGTAAATAATACATGTGACAAGTGCCATTTTAACTTTTACATGTCCAGTTCAGTTCAGTTCACAATGATTGTGTCCATCATTGTGTCCAGGCATCATCTTTATCCATTTCCATGTACTTCTCGTTTTGAGAGCTACTATTCTTCAGAGCCCTATGCCTATGCTGTGTTCTTTCTTTCACTTGCTCCCCTAAATTTTAATGTGAACAAAAGACATTAACATTAAAACCTCATTAACTTTGTCCCCTATTAGAACTGATATTTTTGTTTCACGTTTGTTTTTTTAAAAGTTGCATGCTCCTGACTGCATAAATAATTAAATGTTTTTGATAGTATATCAAACAAGTATTCTCATGTTCACTTCTAATATAGATGGTCCCCTTGGTAATAGATTTTCCTGAGCTTGGACATACTCCTCTAAATCAGATATCCAAATCCCTATTTGTTTTACATCATTGACATGATTTAGTAATTGTTGATCAATTTAGGAGGGTGGTGATATGTGGGGGGGGAGAAGGAACAGTAAAACATTCTAATCTTTGGAAAGCAAAACCCTGTTTTCATAACATAAATTACAGTGTAAATACAATCTTGGTGTGTGTGTGGGGGGGGTAAGGTGTGGGATATAAAAAATAGTCAAACTGCTAGTTTTGATTATACTGCGTGAAAATATAGTTGATCAGCTGTTGTTGTTTTGTGCTGCCAAATCATCGCTGACTTACAGTGACCCCTCCTTGAGTATCCGAGGCAGTATCACTATAGAAGTTGATTGCCCAACCTTCATTCCGAGGAGTGGCTGGTGGGTTTGACTTGTCAACCTGCTGGTTAGCAGTCAAGTGCCTTAGGCACTACACCACCAGAGCTCCCTGTTGATCAACTAGCAGATACTTACTTGTATCTTGCGTCTATAAGATCAAATACGGTGATACCTTTAAAAGAGTAAAGGCTGTTTCTGGAGTTACTATTTGTAATCTCAAGGTAATGCTTTTTTATTCCTTCAAAAGCAAATGTTTATGATATGGCAGGGTTGATTTACTTTGTCTCTGCAGGTCAGAGATTTCACTGACAAGGTAGAAAATCTTTTACAGGAGGGGGAAAAAGGGATACGTAACTAGTATGTTAAAACCTATGCACTGATAACCCACAGTTTCCAAGGGAGAACAGAATTGTCCAAAGTACTAACTTCCTTCCTTACTGTGTAAGTTCCTAAGAAAAGATGAAGTTGAATCTTTCAAGATCAATTATTCCTGTCATTAATATAAATAATTACAATGTTATTTATGTGATATTTAAAAAAAATATGTTTCTTCTTTAGAAGCCTAAAGAAACAGTTCCAACTCTTGCTCCAAAAACCCTTTCGGTAGCAGCAGCTTTTAATGAAGATGAAGATGTAAGTTACTTAATTATGTTTATTTTATTTTGGTCAGTTCTTTAAAGGAAGTGTTAGTGGCAAATTATAGGTTACCTTTATGATACTATTGAATTTTCTTTGCAGCTTTGAACTTAGAGTGGGAGAACAATGTGGAACAAAACTCAAAATCATTTAAAGAAAAAAAAAAAAATAGACCAGCTCTGCTGGTCTGATAGAGTCTGGTGAGACCCCTGAGACTATGGCCCCTAGCCACCCTTCAGGTCTGGAATTGAACTCACTCCTGTGGCTTCCAGACGAACAGTGGATAGGCATATAAGGTGAACATTTATATCAGGTACATAAACTACTTGGAGTGATCAGTTGTAGGAGGAAATAAATTTATTTAAAAAAAGAAAAGTTTAAGAACCAAATCAACAGATGCTTATTATGATAGTAATATACTGTCCTAAGAGATAGTAGGGATCCAAAAAGAGAATTCAAAACTTATACCTTTAATAATTTTTATAGTTAGGGTTTTTAGTGATGAGATGTTATACATGTGTTTAACTTAACAGGAGGCAACTTTTGGAGCTTGTTCCCTACACCCTTAGGAGGAATAACAATTTAAATAGTGCGGGTATTTTTTCAGTTCTGCTCAGTATACATGTGTTAAGGGGAGCATGGAACCCTTCATGCCACTCACAGTGTCCCTTTCATACTATGCTTATGAATGATTTATGCAATTTTTGCGGATGAGTTTGATTGAATTTTGCTTTACACTCTTTACTAACTCCAACTTAAATGTGACCCTTTATTGTATAATAATTAAATGTTATAGGATACATGAGTAACTGCTCCCCCAAACAATAAAAATTATACATTCATAGGAGCTCAAACTGTGGAGCTGAAGTGATTTGGGAAGAATATAGAAGAGAGTTGGATACTAAACCGTTTTCTAAGAGCCAAAAAATATGCTTTTATAAGCTGTGGCATCAGCTTTCAAGTCACAAGTGATAAATACTGAGTTTTGTGTGCAGAATTTTGTAGACGAATATTGGTCAAGGGTAATTATGGAATTGATAGAGCTAAGAGCAGTAGGCAAAGAATTGCTATGGTTATCACACTCTTCTCCTTTGAACTTTACTAATTCTATAAATTTGAGTGTTTTCTATGTGTAAGGTACTATAAAGGTACAAAGATAACCCAGATATGTTTTTAAAAAATAGCCTGTTAGGGCAGAGACTTACACATAAAAGGGTACAGGATATAAAATCAGAAATACCTGAAGAGAGGAAGTGATGAGGAAATTTAAAGAAAGAAGAGAGGCCAGGTAACTAAGTGCAACAGCATGGGAAGAACAGTAGACTGGGAATCCCTAAGACCTGGATTCGTGCCCACATGCTGCCTTGCCAGTTACTAACCAGCCAGTTACTAACCAGCAGAAAGCCTTTGAGTTTATCACTTCACCTTTTTGGAACCTTAGTTTCTCACCTGTGAATTGAAGGCTAACTTTAGATCATGGATTTTTAAATTATTTCTCAAGTTTTGGCTTCTATGGAAGTGGCTTAGGAGCTACTATGATGTGAGAGGGAGATGCCTAGCAAGCAGGGCTCTGGATTCCCCCCATTTTCTGGCATCTCTTAACATTCTTAAGAGATTAGGTAGCTTACTGATAGGTGCAAAGTGTATGAGAGAAGAACCACATGGAAAAAGGGAACAGCATGTGCAAAAATGCAAAGACTAGAAATTTTAAACACTGACATAATAGTAATAGCTTACTTTGAAGTGCCTAACAATGTGTCGTAACTTTATTTTACTTTCCATGTATCCCTATGAATTGTGATATATTTTTTTTTTTTAAATGGAGCAACTAAAAAGTGAAGTAAAGTGTGTGTGAGTGTGTTAATGAATACTAATGCTGAATTAGAATTTAAGTCCTCTGGTTTCTTCTGTTTCCTTTTTTACATCATAGCTTACTGTTTTCTGTATTTTTTAAAAGAAACTTTAGACAGGTTCAAACATCATTCTTTCTTCTGTAATATGTTAATGTGAGTAAAGGATAAGCTAAAACTACTTGGTACCAACCATAGAGTCAATTCTGACTCATCATGACCCCATGTGTGGCAGAGTAGAATTATACTTCATAAAGTTTTCTATGGCTAATTTTTTGGAAGTAGATTACCAGCCTTTCTTTCGAGGTGCCTTTTTTTAAAAAAAAAAAAAATCTGCTTTTCATTGCTCTACACTACATAAGTTACTATGCATATATTCTGAGCCCTGATAAATAGAGGACCCAGTTAATTAATTGCTTTAAAAATATTTTATATTTTTTCAGTCGTGTTGTGTCTCTTTAGTCTCCTCTAATCTGGAACAATTCCTAAGTCTATTATTTCATGTCATTAACATTTTTAAAGAAAACGGCCTAGTTATTTTGTAGAATGTCGCCCAGTTTGGAGTTGTTTGTGTTTCTTCAACATTAGATTCACATTTTTGACTTTCAGCAGGAATACCCCAGAAGTACGTGAGAGTCTCAGTGCATCATGTCAGGGAGCACATGCTACCATTTTGTCCCACTACTTACAAAGTTAATATTGATCATTTGTTTAAGGTGGTGTCTGCTAGGTTTCTCTACTTTTTATCTTTTGAAATTAAAATGTATGTTGTGGTGATGTATTTTGTAAGATATGTAAATATCCCATTATTCCTTAAACATTCACTTACTAATGTCACAGGCATCAGTAATTGTGGTCTGAATCATTATGTTGATGTTTGCCAAATAGTGATTTTCCAATTCCATCATCCCTTCTGAGTTCATTAATTGGCTTTTACTGTAAGGAAGAATTTTCCTTGGAGGACATTATGCTGAATGAAATAAGTCAGTCACAGAAGGACAAATATTGTATTAGTTCACTATTTTAAAAGGTCAGGGAAAGATTTATATATAGAAGGAAACTTCCTTTATTGGGTACCAGGGATAGGAGGGGGAGGGAGGGAACATTGCTAGATAGGTAGAGACAGGTATTGGTCTGGATGAAGGGAAAGGCAATATACCAAAAGGGAATGACCAACACAGTAAGGAAAAGGAAGACACAGAGAGGTGCATAAGAAGTATAGACAATAAAGATAAACCCTTTTGCATACACAATACTGTGTTATCAGCGGTAACAAACATTAATTTACAGATAAATAGACAGGTAGACAGGCTGAATGATCAGGTATGTCTAGGCAAAAGAATATACTCATGACCATATATAAGGTTGGCAGATGGTATTTCTACATACATATTTGTATGTGGTATAAGAATGTCCATAGAACTAGAACTAACAGGGCAAAGTTACAATAACTTTTCAGTCACAGCCAGCCACCCTGATGGAGTGAGATGTTGGACCTATGGGCTTAGTACCATGGTCACGGGGGACATCAAGCTCAGTTGGCATAACGTATTACACAAAAACATTATGCTACATCCTACTTTGGTGAGTAACGACTAGGGGTCTTAAAAGTTTGCAAGTGGCTATCTAGCTGCAGCAATGGGTCTCTCCTCATCCAGAGCAAAGAAGAATGAAGAAACCAAAGATGCATGGAAACAATTAGTCCAAGGGACTAGTGGACCATGTGAACCTCAGCCTATATGACCATGAGACCATGGTGCCTGGCTGCCACTGTCAGAAAGGGATTGGTGTAGAGATCCTGGATAGAATTGGGAGAATAATGTGGAACAAAACTCAAAATCATGAAAAACACGAGGTTTATTAGTCTGATAGAGCCTGATGAGACCCTTTAGACTATGGCCTCCAGTCACCTTTCAGGCCTGGAATTGCACTCACTTGGGTGGCTTCCAAGCAATAGGCATATAAGATGAACCTTTCCATCAGGCAGATACACTCTTTAGAGTGATGAAGCAAGAAGGGCAGTATTTGCAGAGGGAGATAGCTCAGGGGGCAGGAATACATAGGATAGAAGGACACAGGGAAGAGGTAACTACAGGAAAGAAGTAGAAAGAGCTCGGGGACTGCAGTCATTGTCATGAAACGATGTGTACGAGCTGCTGTATAGAAAATGAATTTGCTCTGTAAACTTTACCCAAATCACAATAAAAAGAATAAAAGGATTTTCCCTTTCGTTGTTAAGTGCTGTCGAGTTGTCCCGACTCATAGCGACCCCTCCTTGGGTTTCTGAGGCGGTATCACTATGGACATAGATTGCCCAACCTTCCTTACGAGGAGTGGTTGGTGGGTTTGAACCGCCACCTTCTGATTAGCAGTCAGATGCCTCGGGCACTACGTTACTAGAGCTCCAATTTTCCCTTAGCTCTTTAAAATTTTATTTGTATCAGTTTAGACTTGTGGCTTCTTACTTTATTCGGTAGGCTATAATCAAACCCACCAGCCACTCCTCAGTAGGAAGGTTGGGCAATCTACTTCTGTAGTGATACTGCCTCGGCAACCCAAGGAGGGGTCACTGTGAGTTGGGCTGACTCAAGGGCACATAACAACAACATAATCCTTTATCTGTTACTCTATAATGCTCAAATTGTCCCAAAGATGACCAGAAGGAAGCCCCTTTAGGTTGAATCTTCAGGACACACATACATGTATTTAGCTCAGCAGCAGCATTTATAAGTACAAATAATATATGATAGGATTTGATTTGTCACATGCATTTTTAGCTTTAAGGAAAAGAAATGAGAGAGAGAGCAGTAAAGTGATTAGCACCTTTTTTTGACATCAGACTGTTTTGCCATACATTAGCTTTCTGACCTGGCAAGTTAACCTCCTTACCTCATTTGTAAAATGGGATGATAATCATAGCTACCTCATAGGGTTATTGTTAGGATTTTAAATGATAGTGCATATTAAGGCATTTAACTCATAATTGTTAGGATTTTAAATGATAGTGCATTATTAAGGCATATAACTCAACGTGTAGCACATTTTCCTCTAGGGATTGCCTAGTAAGTGATAAATGACTTTAGTTCAAGAATATTGGGTTTATACCAGTTTTTTTACTTGCTGCAAAATCATATATTAGAAGCTAGGTATTTGTTTTTAAAATGAGGTTAAGATAAATAATTCAGTGGATTTTCTCCTATTAGCAAAATGTACAGTACTGAAAATTATAAGAGACTTAGATGTAAAATTTAGCATTGTTAGTAATCAGGTGAATAAATCTGTATGCCATCATCTTGGATTAATTCTCCAGAGTGAACCAGAAGAGATGCCTCCAGAAGCGAAGATGAGGATGAAGAATATTGGAAGGTACTATAATTTTTCATAACTTTAGTATTACAGAAAATGATAGAAGTGAATTAAGAACAAGAATAAATTACACAATCTTTTAGCATTTTCTCAAGAATTTTGGCAAAATATATATACTAATAGTTAAGATTTTGAAGATGTGTAAACAGACTAATCCTCATGAAAAAGATAATGGTTTAGTAAGAATGTGGTGTTATATGAGCTATGTATAATAGTCATTTTATTTTTCTCTCCTGATAAGAGTAATTGAGTATATGTGAAAAATAACAATAACCTAAGTCTCTTTTCTTTTCAGATACATGTAACCTATGTTTTTCAAATAAGAAATAGCTATCAGAAATATTTTTGGTTTAAAATTAATGTTTACATTTTTTCTAGTACAAAAGAGAAATGACTTTCAGCCCCTTAGGTTGTCTTTCTCTTCACTTGATCCTGTGTATTGTTTGTCCTTGGCAATTTAGATGCCAAATATTAAAATAAGACAAGTAAAAATATTTTAATTTCTATTTTCCTCCATTATTCCTCTTTTTCTGGAAATAACTAACATTAACTTCAAGTTAACATGATAATTTCAGTTTCCTTTCTTTGCATGCATAAATGGATAACTTAGAGGCTGGCGAGAAAGTTCATATCAACTGATATTATGTCCTCATTTCTACCAAACCTAAATCTAACCTCCCCTAAATCCATACACAAGCATCACATTTTAGACTTTAGTTGTGTGATTCAGTTGGGAACAGCCCAGTGGGTGCCTACCTTTCTTCCTTCCTTTTTATTGGAAACTAAAGAAATACATCTGACAGTGTCATCCAATCTCAGCACACAGTATACGTTTACATATGTTTAAACAGATAAAATTGAAACAAGTTCATAAAATGACATTGAGCCTTACTATATGTGATAAATCTTCATAATTTTTCTTTTTTTTTTTTTAAACAAATGTTGATGGCAAACCACCAAATTGATTTCATGACCCTCTTTATGAGTTACAACCCAGAGTTAAAAAAAAGTTTAGTGGTTTCCAGGCTTATAGTGCATCAGAATTCAGTTTAGATATTTGTTAAAACTAAAGATTTACCTGACTTCACCTCAGGCGTACTGAATCTGAAATTGTAAGATAGTTCTGTGGAAAAGTTATTTTTAAAAAATTCTATAAGGCCTTCTGTTATTCAGCCTGTGTTTGTAATAGGTGCTAAACAAAAGTATTCTATGAGTTAAAATAGTCCTAAAGGCTTTGTATAACATTGTAAGTAAACATTTTTCTTTTAATATAGGGATACACCAACATCAGCAGGACCAAACTCTTTCAACAAAGGAAAGCATGGATTTTCTGATAACCAGAAGCTATGGGAGCGAAATATAAAATCTCATCTTGGAAATGTCCATGACCAAGACAATTAAATGATGTGTTTTACGATTGGGGTGTGGGGTGGGTGTAAAGTTAAAAGGAACAGTTTCCTTTTTTAAAAGAATGATATAAGACTATCTTCGGAGCCGTCTCTTTTTTTCTTTCTTTTTTTTTTTTAATTAGAGATTGAATGGTACACTAATAAAATGAGAGTTTGAAATTAGAGGTAATTTATGTTTTATATACAGATTTCAAGACATTTGCTAATTTTGTAGTTTCACTTGATTAGTTTCCAAAGGTTGCAGATAATAAAGAAATCAGAAATGGTACCTTTTTAAGAATTGCATATTTTTTTAGATAACTATTAGCACATTAAGAGGGAAGCAAAAAGTTATTGTCTTCAAAATACAAGCAATTACTCTCTAATTTAACTCCCTCATTATATAAACTATCTGGCTCCCAGGAACAGCCTTATAGAAAAGGGAGTATTGTATTAGGAGGAAAAATGTTACTGGACTATTGACTGAAAGTAAATTTAGATAAAATGAAATACAGCTTTTTTTTGTATGGGCATTTGTTTTGTTTCAAGTCATAAAGTAGTTTTTGCATTGCTGTCTGTTAGATATAGATGCTTAGCTTTTTGAAAGTAACCATTTTTTGAAATTTTATGTAAACTGTTGAATATTTGAAATAGCTCACTTCATCTTAACGGGTCTTGTCTACCTTTAGTAGTCTTCAAAGAACAACCATTTGCTACCAAAGTAAATCAGTATTTTGAATGTGCTTCTCTTGGTTTTTGTTATTAGCTAGTTTCTGAAAGCATTTCCACCAGAACTTGAGGAAGCTGTTTCTTTTAAACTATAAACCACCACCAAAAAAATTTAAATGTACATATTGCCTAAATATTTGGCTGCTTTTATTTTTTAAAAGGTATGAACACTCAAAAAAGAAATTAATATTGTATGAAGAAGGGAATGAGAAGATACATTTTCTGTACTTTGTCAAAGCATTTACATTACTAATTTGTGAAATCCAATTTGAATGGACCTTACTACAGGAGTTCTTATTAATAGAATACTACAGTTTAAGAGTACATGTATTGATCAATGACTTCTCAAAAGTGCATTTTAGATACTGAATATAGAAGGAAAGAAAATGCATCTTCAAACATTTTATGGAATCGCTGACCATATATGCTTTGTTCTGTGGGGTCTAGGGTGGTATTTTTTTTTCCTTTTGTATTTTTATATTGTATATGAGCTCTCTCTCTTAACATAACAGTTAAGCACATCTTTGAAAGTAGAGTCACAAACAAAAGAAACATAAAATAGAATAATGTCCTTGAAAATCCCTACAATATTAAATTTGGAGGATGTTTCAGACTATTTTATTGGTGGTAACTGCTCACTGAGCTCTTATAATAGGTAATAACAACTCCAGAGAAGCAGCCTGACTGTTGTATATTCCTAATACTTTGTTCACTTGCATTTAAGTTTAGAATAAGTCCCAAGTAAAACATTGGAAATGTATATAGAACTATTTGTTCTTACATGATTTAATTATATCAAGATACATGAATTTAACTTACTTTAATGTAGGCAAACTTTCCATTTTCATTCATTTTACTGTTTATGTTAAAATAGTAATTATCCCTCTCCTACAATATTCTTTTCTTGACCCAAATGAAATATTTACCTAAGGTCAAGATGGGAGAGAGAAATGACTGAGATGAATGTCTTTACTAAAATACCAATAAATTGTCAAACTCAATAGTGTTTTTATTTTCTATTCCACTTATTGTTGCTTGCTTTTGTATGTTTTTACAAAAAGTTGAGACAAATGTTATAATTGTTACTTTTGCCCGTATTATTGGCCAAAGTAATGGAGGGTTTGAAAGTCTTCGTTATTAAGGTCTACCTAACTTGACAACAGTCTGTAGCTTTATATTACCGCAGATTGGAAAAGACTTAAAGGGTCAAACAAATCCAAATCCCCCTTCTCTAAGTCCAAAGAGTTATATGTCCTACGCTCTAGAAAATCCTGTAGAGATATACATACCTTTAAAAATTCCTAAATGTTAGAACATACTCTCTGACTACTATCTACCATCCATTAGCTGTATATAGAGATTTAAGACCATAAAGTGGGGGAGGGGGGATTGAATCCCTCTACTACTCAATGGCTTACATAAAATATTTGAAGGGATCTTTCTGTACTGTACTTTTACTTGCTCCCTTCGGGTTAAATATGCCCTCTTTCTCTGGTTACTTTTTAATATTGTTACTCAGTATGCTTTCTTTATCCTGCATACTAGGCATTCTTCTGTCAAACACATTCCAGATACCCAAACTTATTTTCTTTGGTTGACATGAATTCTAAGGTCACATTGGTTGCCTTCTCATTTCCATCACTTTCACTTTGTTAACCCACGTCATTAGAGCGGCCTTTTCCTTAGTTTCTTCTAACCTCTTATCCAGAACTTGTTAGATTTCCCTTTTAGAATATATCCTTTTAGTATTTACAATGCTGGTGCTGAACACATCAGGCCCTAGTAAATAGAAAAGTTGAACTACATTTTAAAATCAAGATTCATTTCTCATTACAAATGAAGGCTGAGTTTCTAATTTTCATAAATCTACTGTCAAGGTTAGCTTGACATACTATAGTGAGATTGTTCAACTTACTTTCTTGGTCAATGGAATGTACTTAAAAGTTTTTTTCAGACTTCATTTTGAAAATTTTTTAGACTTCAAAAAAAATGGAAAAAATCCTAATTATCTCCTTGTACCCTTTGCATATGTTTACCACGTGTAAACACATATGTTAACACATAACTACATGATAACTGTTCAAGTCAGTAAATTAACATGATCACATGCTATTATCTGTTATTCTGTACACTGTTGTTCTGCAGGCTTTACTCATATTTCACCATTGGCCCCACTGAAGTCCTCCTAACCCAAGATCTACTTCAGTTTCACACATTGCATTTACTTCTCTCTCTTTAAACCAGTTGCCATCAAGTTGATTCTGACTTACAGTAACCTCATGGCTGGCTGATTGGAAGTAGAGTGCCAGGTCTTTCTCCAAGAGACTCTGGGTGGATTTAAACCTCTAACCTTTCCATCAGTAGCCAAGTGCCTCCTATTTCTGTTCGGCCTCCTCTAATTTGGAACACTTCAATGTTCTTTCTTTGGACTTTTTAAAAGTCTAGGCCAGTTTGTACAAGATCCCTCAATTTTGTGTTTCCCTGATGTTTGCTTATTAAATCATTTTTGCATTTTTGGCAAGAATACCACAGAACTGATAAGATCCTCATTGTATCATAGCAAGAAGCACAGGATGTCAATTTGTCCCATTAGTGTTTACTTGGTAGTCTATCAGATTTCTTTGCTGTTTTTCCCTTTGTTATTACCCAAGTTAGCCAAACTGCAAGGTGTACAGGTTTGACAATTTGCTAGAAGGACCCAGAGGACTTGCTGAAAGCAAACTATTGTTCTTACAGTTACAGTTTATTACAGGGAAGAGATACAGCCTAAAATCACGCAAAGGAAGAGTTCAAGAGGATTCCATTCCAAACAAACTCAGAGCTTCCACTGCCTTCAGGAAGTGTTACCCTCCAGGAATCAATGTGTGATAGTATGCAGAGAGTATTGCCCACCAGGAAAGCTTACTCAAGCGTCAATATCTAGAGCTTTTCTTGGGACTTCATCACATATGGATAATTGCCCATGTGGTTGAACTCAATTTCCAGATCGAATGATACCTTGTTACCTAAAGCCCCTACCCTGAATCACAAGGTTGATCTTGCTGGTGTGGCTGGCTGGCCTCACATTAAGTTTCAGTGGGATCAGCTTCCACTCTAAACAAAGACCTTCCTGTCAGGTATGACATAGCTTACCTCTCAGAAGGGCAAAGACTATACCTCTTTGGATAAGGTCAAATTCTTCACTACACAGTAATGAGTAAGGAACGTTAGTGATGCAGTGGTTAAAGCACTCAACTAACCAAAAATCAGTGGTTTGAATCCACCAGCTCCTCTACTGGAGATGATGTTGACAGTCTGCTTCTGTAGAGACTTGAAGCCTTAGAAATCCCGTGAGATAGTTCTCTGTTCTGTAGGGTTGCTGTGAATCAAAATTGACAGCAGTGGGTTTTGATTTTTAGTAAGTATCTTGTATGAGTAGATATTTGAGACTGTAAATGCTCTTTGTCATATTTTTTGCCAGTAACTAGGAGTCAACCATGGTTCTTTCCTGAAACAATTATTTGTGTAGTGTTTGCCAAATGGTTTTCTATTTCCATCCTTCCTACTTTTATTAATTGAAACTACTGTGAGACAGCTTTCATCATTATTTAGTTTGATTATTTTTAATGGGCCCTTGGATTTTTATTTTTTGTGTTATAACCCATTACTGTCATTTATTTTATTGCTCAGGCTGCCTTGGATTTGGTCATGAGAGCCTCTTCAAGTTGACCCATGTCCTTTTGACATGTCTCCATCCTTTTTTTGAGTACTTCAGTTTCCAGCATCACAAGAAGTTCTAAGTTCATTGTGTACGTCTCTAGTCTTGAAATCAATGATTTCTTAAAGCAACCATGGTTCCTTTTATTGGATAATAGTGTTTAAAAAGTAAAAGAGCATTATGTGCTCACTGGTACTGAGGTACCATTGTTTCTAGGCCTGCTTATCCAACACAGCTAGGAAATATATGTATATTTTTCTATATCTTTGTATATGTGTCTTCTCCATGAGTTCATATTGATTCTTCCAGTGGTAGTCCAACACCACAAAAGTTCATTCTAGTCTTCCCTCTTTGTATATTTGTAAGTCCTTTCTCCAACAGTGAGAAACTTGATGTTGACTATCCATAATATGCTTATTTGCTTAATTCTAGGATCCACATAAAATAGTTTTTGAATTACCCATTTACCTGTGAAAAACAATAAGGCAGTCCTGGGTTAAAAACAAGTTCCATCCCTAATGTATCTTTACATGGGATTTTAGGGGAGTGGGTACAGGTGCTTATGGTTCTTATATAGCCTTTAATGTAAGATAAGACTCAAATAACTTTCCAATGATTTAAAAACTTTATGTTCAGTAAATGAAAGTGAGTGTGATTAATTTGTTGTGAGTAGAGATTGGATCGATCAATTTCAGTGTGAGCAAATTTAAACATTTCAGTTTAAACATTAAAAGGCAAATAGGAGTTGTAAGTGGGATGTTGGTAACCCATGGACTGCTTGTATTTGTGTAAAGTTCCTTGTTTTTAGCCTTAGAATACGTAATTAAAAGTACAGTTTGACAAGGTTAATGTAGGTTGGTTTGTTTCTGTGCCTCCATAGGAATTTTCATTTGTAATGAAATTAGTTCATTTGTTTCTGTTTGTATTTCATAATTGGGCGCCTATCATTTTTTTGGGGGGGTACATGAAAGATTGTTGTTGTTGTTATGTGTCAAGTAGGACCTGACTCATAGTCACCCCTCCTTGGGTTTCCAAGGTGTATCACTACAGAAGTAGATTGCCCAACCTTCTGAGGAGTGGCTGGTGGGTTTGAACTGCCAGCCTTCTGGTTAATAGTCAAGTGCCTTAGGCACTACACTACCAGAGCTAAGGAAACAGGAGTGGCATCCTCTGACCTCCTCCAGCCTCCCAAGGGGAAAACGGTTACCATCAACAGCCCAAGGCTTTTTCCTATGAGGTCAGACATGCCACCACTCTCCAGCCTTTTTACCAGTTCTAACACCAACTGTGCCTCTCACAGCACTGTTTCTCTGCTGGGTTTGGTAATTTATTGCAATGTCCACATGGAACTCAAAGACAATAGTCAACGATTATAGAGTTTTTTAGGGAAGTGACAGGTTACAATTCAGGTTCAGGAACGCTCCCAGGATACAATTCTTCCATCATGACAGCCCCCTCTGCTATGCCCTCAGGAATGCCTCCCTGACTCTTGGCCTCTCAACCTGGCCTCTGCCCTGCTCAGGCCAGTGTCACAAAGCTCTTCTAGCTCTATGGATAGGTGCACCCCACTCCACCACCAAGCCTCCTGCCCAAATGTGTTCAGCTTTCTCACTCCTGGGCTGGCAAGCCTGCCACTCTGTCTCTTGGTCCCCTTGGTTCCATTGCTGCTGTCTCAGCTGGTTGCCTCAGCCAGTCATCTCTGCTTGTCTTCACTGCTGTCTCTGCCAGAGAGGTCCAGCACAGGGATCTCAGGTCCTAGGATGCACTCCACTCCACCTGTGCCTCTTCTCTCGATGGCGGTGAGATTTCCTCCTTCTGCCTCTAGGAGGACTCACTTTAAACCTGGCAGAATGACAAAACTAACCAATCCCCACATTATGGTTCCATACACCTTGTCCCAGCCCCACAAGGGTGTCATGTACCTTGTTTACATTACTCACAAGCTATCCAACCTTACATTTGCATAGTTCCACCCAGTAATTTGGTGGGAGTCACAAAGGCCATGGCTCAAAGAAACATTCGAAGTAGTTCACTACACCACAGCATAGTTCTAAAAGTCCAAACTACACAACAGAAGTGTCACTTCTCTCAATCCTTTCTATCCTGTTGTCTTTCTCCTGCACTTACTATCCATTTCACACCTAACCCCCTATAGGTTACCAGTCTCTGGTTTATAGTTTATCCTTCCTGTGTTTCTTTTTGTATAAATGAAGGAATGGTGGTTTAATTTCTTATTTTCCTTATGTGAAGGGTAGTACACTATAGTTACTCTTTGGTCATAGAGATCTTTCCTAGGCTTCCCCA